GGTACTTTATAATCCTCGAATTTTAGGCTATAAGAACACATTTTTTATTTCATTGAAGCTATCACACCTATTTAATAAAACATTCCAAAGAAAAGGCGCTATGTTTAACTCGTAGCGTTTGGCGCGAAATTATGAATAGTGACTCGCCTTTCATAATTCTAAGACAAAAAGCACTGTTATACAGAGATTCAGAGTAGAGGTCCCAATACTGTAATATTTAGCTCGTTGGATTTTCATGCTGGCAACTCAATCCCTCTTGTGTGCAATTTTTGTTTACTTTTTTAGGTCGATTTTACCCTTTCTTACCGGAATCGGACGGAAGACCTCTCGTTGCTCGCAACGAGTTTCTCATCTAGTTATTAGGGTCTTCCGCTTCCTTCGGAAGACCCTACTGTTATTCTACTGTTTCTTATTATTATTTTATTTTTTTTTTCCCGCTCGATTTTTGACAGGCGATTTCTCAAAGACCTTTGGACTGATTTTTATGAAACTTTCAGGTTAGATACCTTGTAATTAAACCTATTTACACCTGTTTTCAATTTTTTGATGCATGCCTTTAATTGTGAGTTATTGCCCTTTAATTGATAATTTTGATGTCTCGTTTCCACTAAAAATCTCAAGAACGACGTAAGATATTTACACGAAAGTTGGAGAACTTGTAGCCAATACATTGTAGATGTGCAGAACGATAAAATTATAAGCTGATTTCCTAAAGTTTGGAAGCTATAAAACGGCAAATTTCAGTAATTTTTTTTCTTTGAATTTTTGCTACTTTTTGTGTAATAACTTTTAAACCGAGAATAATTTGGTTAGAAATATATAACAAAAGTTGTGGGTAATTACGAGAGCTTTCATATTTGATTAATGAAAAGGGGCTGGCCCCTATAATTAGGGGTTAATAGCTCATACACGCTTTTTTCTGATAGCTAAAAATATTGGTATATTATGAAAAAGTTTGACTGAAATAATTTCGAACTTATAAAATCTTGTCATTTGATATAAAAAGAAATAAACTTCCAGCTATATTTAATTGATTTTTTTATAAAACAAGTACATGTATGTGAGAAACCTTTCAGGAACAAGTTGTCTACTATAGCCAGCCAAGCCTTTACTGCATACATGTGCACATTTTTAGTTGATGCATCTAAAAGATATAGTTTTGATTCGGTGTTTCTTTGTTTTCTTTTTATTCAAATAATTTTAAAATGTGATGATGTACACAACAATAATTAGTACCTAGTTTACAGGATTTTTTCGCGCTTGTTTGTAAACAACGCGCGGCATTGTGGGAAATAGGAAGGTACTAAAGACGCGATGTACTAAACACTGATTTGACCTGATTCAAATTTGTCTGTAAATGTTCCAAACAATTGAATTTTTGTATAGCATATGCCTCGAAGTCATAAAGTCTGTACATAAGTAATTTAAAATACTCAATATTACCATTTAATTAAAAATTAAAACGTCAGGTAAATATCAGGTCTCTAGTATATCCCGTTTTTAATGTGCCCCTTCGAGTCGACGTCGGACACATGTTTGCCATGGTTTACCGCTGACAGATAAGTCGGACCATAACAATGTCGGACTATAACAAACTCGGACCAAACCGAAGTCGGACTATACCAAACTCGGACTACCGTATATATATTTATCAAAAAACGGATCGCTGTGTTAATTATGAAATTAATTTGTATTGTGTTAGATTTATTACTCTTAAAGTCTATATATATGCAATGTTTTACCAAATAAAAACAATTTTGAGAACTTTTTATCCATTTTACATTTTGTATGTATATACGTGCCTGCCGAGAAAATGTACGCACCGATTATTTTATTTTTCTGACCTTACAAGACAAGCTGAACTTTGTTTATATTTGAAATTGTATTCATTGAATTTAATCGATTTTAATTTTATTTTGTCTGAGACAATATACTCAAAGAGGAAGAGGCTCCAATGCCCTAAAATGGCCCCAAAATTCACAAAATTTTAAAGTAATCACAATTATGAAAACTGTTTATATTATTAATGTTTGGAAACTGTTTTTCACAGAAACATTTTAAAATTTAATTATAGTGCATCAATGACGTCACAAATACTGATCAAACTCATGATGTTTCCCGAAAAATCCCGAAAACATGTAATTTTCTGACATTTTCTTTGATATTTCAGTACCTCCGCATGCACCCACCAACTTAAAACTTTCTTCATTTATTTATCACAGTTCCAGAATTTACGGAGCAAAATATCTTTTTGGTGGGTGCGTGCGGAGAGTATAAATTTTAACAAAACTTATACTTCGATGGTAACATTTTCTGTTATTCCGAAATAATTAAAATCTAAATAGATTACAGTCCCATTGTAATCAAAAGCCATTCTCTTTCGTTAATATATGAGTTAACTATTTTAACCTTTTTAAGGATTTACATGTTTATTCCCCAGTAAAAGTCCTTCGTAAAAGCCTGACAAAGGGGGGGGGGGGGGGTGATGCTGAGTATAATGAGTTCCGAGTTGTTACCTACATGTACGCTATCTACGTAACAACGAGTGCTTCCGCTTTGTGCCAAGTGAAAACAGACCTAAGATGTTTAGGTACCGAATGCTTATGATGAGCAAGGAAAATTATTGATCATACGGAAGGTAAATATAAAATTTTAAAATGTAATTAGAGTGTGACGGTAAAATAAACGGGTCACACATTGCATGTTCCTTTTTCACGAATAACTAACTATACATCAAACATTGATGAAAATACCTTGTCGTCTGGTCAGTAAATATTCGTTGATACATTGGTAAATCCGTAAATATACATGTATATGCCTTTAAATATGTAATAGTCAATACCATGAATCTGTATTCATTCACACTGATTATCGATGCTTTTCCCTCCTTCTCACCGTTTTATTAAAACTTGGGTGATTTGACGGTTAGATATGGCAAGAAATTGGTACTGCGTTTTTAGGTGATACTTTTGTACCCTAGGGTACACCCTTATTAAATGTATGGAGAAAAGGTTACAAAAAGGGTACACTATTTATTCCTACTGAAAACGAAAGTAGATGCTTCCCAGTGGTAGGAAGACTGTAACATCTATATAAGTAAAATTAAAAATAATGTAGCCGATGCTCAGGGTACAGTGGGTACAAAGGGTACACATGGGTACAGCAGGTTACAACACTATAAGAAATGGATACAAGGGTTCGGGAGACTGAAAATTTCTAAGTTAAAATTAAAAATAATGGAGCCGATGCTCAGGGTACAGTGGGTACAAAGGGTACACATGGGTACAGCAGGTTACAACACTATAAGAAATGGATACAAGGGTTTAGATTTTAAGGATGAAATTTTCTAAGTCAAAATTAAAAATAATGGAGTGGATGCTCAGGGTACAGTGGGTACAAAGGGTACACATGGGTACAGCAGGTTACAACACTATAAGAAATGGATACAAGGGTTCAGGAGACTGAAATTTTCTAAGTTAAAATTAAAAATAATGGAGCCGATGCTCAGGGTACAGTGGGTACAAAGGGTACACATGGGTACAGCAGGTTACAACACTATAAGAAACGGATACAAGGGTTTAGATTTTAAGGATGAAATTTTCTAAGTCAAAATTAAAAATAATGGAGTGGATGCTCAGGGTACAATGGGTACAAAGGGTACACATGGGTACAGCAGGTTACAACACTATAAGAAATGGATACAAGGGTTCAGGAGACTGAAAATTTCTAAGTTAAAATTAAAAATAATGGAGCTGATGCTCAGGGTACAGTGGGTACAAAGGGTACACATGGGTACAGCAGGTTACAATACTATAAGAAATGGATACAAGGGTTTAGAAGGCTGAAATTTTCTAAGTTAAATTTAAAAATACTGGAGCCGATGCTCAGGGTACAGTGGGTACAAAGGGTACACATGGGTACAGCAGGTTACAACACCATAGGAAATGGATACTTGTCTACTTTTGTGATAAGTTATATTGAAATCAGACCAAAACTGTAGAAGGAGTAGCAATTTAAAGGAATTCCACAGAAAATTCTACTTTTAGTAACCATGGCAACACCGTTCATTGAAATCAAAAACCGATGCACTATTATATGTAAATTTGTGTAGTTTACTTGTGTGCCAAGTGATAATGAAATCAGACCAAAACTGTAGAAGGAGTACCATTTTAAAGGAATTTCTCAGAAAATTCAATTTTTAGTAACCATGGCAACACCGTTCATCAAAATCAAAAACCGATGCACTATTTTATGTATCTTAGTGTAGTCTACTTGTGTGCCATGTGAAATTGAAATGAGACTAAAACTGTAGAAGGAGTAGCGTTTTAAAGGAATTTCACAGAAAATTCTATTTTTAGTAACCATGGCAACATCGTTCATCGAAATCAAAAACCGATGCACTATTTTATGTATCTTAGTGTAGTCTACTTGTGTGCCAAGTAATATTGAAATCAGACCAAAACTGTAGAAGGAGTAGCGTTTTAAAGGACTTTCTCAGAAAATTCTATTTTTAGTAACCATGGCAACACCGTTCATCGAAATCAAAAACCGATGCACTATTTTATGTATCTTAGTGTAGTCTACTTGTGTGCCAAATTATATTGAAATTAGACTAAAATTGTAGGAGGAGTAGCGTTTTGAAAAATTGTTTACAGACAGACAGACAGACAGACGGACGGACGCCGGACGCATTACTATCGCATAAGCTCTTCTGGTCTCTGACCAGTAGAGCTAATAAATATATTAAATAAAATTAATTTGGGTTCAATCTCATCTAAGTCATCTAGCAATGAAAATACATTAGAAATTTTCGAAATAAATGTAACTTAATCAATTAGTAGACATAATCCTACTAAAGCATCGTAAATGTATCTATGGTCCGAGTTTGTTATAGTCCAAGTTTGTTATAGTCCGACTTTGTGTAGTCCGAGTTTGTTATGGTCCAAGTTTGATATAGTCCGACATTGTTTTGGTCCGACCTATCAGTAAATCTGGTTTACAAACTGAAAATAGAATGATTTGTGAAGTTGAACATTTTCTCACAAAGAATCCGTTTGTAGACATGTACACTCATTTAATCTGCAGATACGAAGTACTTTGTCACTTCTCTGGAACATTATTCTAAGCAGAATTATCCCGATTCATATATTCTAAGAATCTTGTGTGAATTGTTTACGAGGAAATTCTGACTGTCACGTTAACAAGGATGAACACTCTTGACTCTGCTTCGGATTCCCCAGTGATAATTGTATCGAGTGATGAAAGAGCTGACGGCGACATTTTAATGTATGATTGGCTTGGACCATTGGAATGAAGGTTAGAATATTTTTATTACTTAAAATTTACACTCTGATTACATGACAGTGACATACATTGATGTTATTAGAAATACACAGACACACCGATATATTATCTGTTTTACAGTTCAGACGCTCTCTGTTTACCTTGTAAATCCCCACAGCTTTATATTTTATTTTTTTAAAATTTGAGGATGTAATTTCAACAGTCCTACTAACTATCATAGTGATCATACTCTATAATTCAAACTGCACTTAATGTTACAGAATATATTCAACTAATTATATATTGACAGTGTGACTGTAAGGGTAAGGGCAGATACTTATTTAGTTTTAATTTAGATTGTGCTTGTCAAGCCGCATTTGACATTTGGTGCATAAATGCTCAGTGTTCACACTGAGAGTTTATTCAAATGTTTAATTCGAATGAATTCACTGCTCATTAAATTATTCCCATTAGCTCAATGTGAACATGAGTAAGGATAGCTAATTCAAATTAAATAGAAATGAATTTTGAATGTAGCTTAAACATGTTAAAGAAGCTAAGCACCGTGGGTCCAAAGTACACTGCGGAAAAATTGTGTGGAGCAATGTGCAAGTCACAATCTTCTTTTGCCAAGGTCTTATCATAAGAGCTCGCATCATGGGCAGGAATTTGTGCTGCTGTCTGGACTCGCTATAAATAGATGTTCTCAAAAAGTCTTAATTATTTAATATCATACTTTACTGACAAAAAAGGACAAATATTGCTCAGTTAAATTGCAAAAGAAATTTGTTTAAAAAAATTGTAATCATAGAAAGTTTGCTTTTTTGTTTGATAAGACTGCTGTAATGGTTTAATGTTTGTTTATTTGCCTTAATCATACATTTTTCAGTCATTTCATGGTGCCACCACTTGGGATGGTATTAGCTGCAAATATAGACTTGTACTCAGCACTTATTGCCTTTAAGAAGTATGAGATCCATTTTGTGCTAACACCTACTGTGACACAGAATCTTGGTTTATGCAGTCTCATAGGAGTAACCTGTCTAAAGCATTTAGCAATGGGATTGGAACCTGCGACGTAAGGTTCAGCTTCTTATTGATACTTTGATTTATAATATTTATTTGAGAATTTCACTCATTCACATACTTAGAGATGTTGATATATATTGTTGAATAGCATCAATTTAGACCTTTACTTAGCTAAGTAAACATGTACTGTGAGGTTTTTAAGGTCTCATTCATTTTATATGCCAGATGCATGTTAAGGAACATTACTGCATAAATGTTTTTGTCTTAAATTTGAAGCTCTTTACTAATATAGAGATATGTTAGTGTTAAACCTCTTCAAATTAGGGTAGACCTTTACTTTAAACTCAGCAATGTGAGTGTGTTGTGTGAACTTGTGTTAGCGAGACAGTGTGTTGTATGAATTTGTGTTAGCAAGGCAGTGTGTTTTGTGAACTTAATTGTGTTAGCCTGACAGTGGGTTGTGTGAATTCTTGTTAGCTTGACGATATGTTGCGTAAACTCGTGTTAGCGGGACAGCGTGTTGTGTGAAATCGTGTATAAAGTGTAAGTGTGACAGTGTGTTGTGTAAACTCGTGTTAGCTAGACAGAGTGTTGATTGAACTCGAATTAGCGAGACTTCGTGTTGTGTAAACTCGTGTTAGTGAGACTGCGTGTTGTGTAAACTCATGTTAGCGAGACTGCGTGTTGTGTAAACTCATGATGATGTTAGCGAGACAGCATGTTGTGTGAACTCTTATTAACGAGACAGCATGTTGTGTGAATTCGTGTTAGCGTGACAGTGTGTTGTGTGAACTTGTTATCCTGAAAATTTGTCGTGTGAACTGGTGTTAGACAGATAGTATGTTGTGTGAACTCGTGTTAGCGAGATTGCATATTGTGTGAACTCGTGTTAGCCAGACTGCGTGTTATGTGAACTCGTGTTAGCGATATTGCATGTTTTTTGAATTTGTGTTAGCGTGACAGTGTGTTGTGTGAACTCGTGTTAGCCTGACAGTGTGTTGTGTGAAATGGTATTAGGATGACAGTGTGTTCTGTGAAATGGTATTAGGATGACAGTGTGTTATCGCAACAGCGTTTGGTGCGAACTTGTGTTAGTGAATATGAGACAGCCTGTTTTGTGAATTCGTGTTAGCGTGACAGTGTGTTGTGTGAACTCGTGTTAGCCTGACAGTGTGTTGTGTGAAATGGTATTAGAATGACAGTGTTATGTGTGAAATGGTATGAGGATGACAGTGTGTTATCGCAACAGCATTTGGTGCGAACTTGTGTTAGTGAATAGTGAGACAGCCTGTTTTGTGACTTTGTGTTAGCGTGACAGTGTATTGTGTAAACTCGTGTTAGCGTGACAGTGTATTGTGTAAACTCGTGTTAGTGAGACTGCGTGTTGTGTAAACTCATGTTAGCGTGACAGTGTGTTGTGTGAATTCATCTAAGCGTGACAGTGTGTTGCGTGTACTTGTGTTAGCTAGACAGTGTGTTGTATGAACTCGTATTAATTAGCGAGACTGCGTGTTATGTAAAACTTGTGTTAGCAAGACAGCGTGTTGTGTGAACTTGTGTTAGCGAGACAGCGTGTTTGTGAATTTGTGTTAGCATGATAGTCAGTGTTGTGTGAACTCGTGTTAGCCTGATATTTTGTTGTGTGAAATTGTATTAGCGTGACAGTGTGTTGTGTGTTAGTGTGACAGCGTGTGGTGCGAACTTGTGTTAGTGCGAAAGTGTTTATCAGTGTTGTGATGGCGAGCTGTGTGATAGCCTAATGGCGTCTTTTGTGTCGGTAAGATGGCACGCTTTTATGAAAGTGCTATTGAGCTTTAGCAAGTGGCCCTATCTGGACACGCCTTATTATAATTGATCAGTTCTCAGATATACAGTGAATTACTGGTATTATTGTCACCATGAATTCAGCATTTACAGTTGCAATTACCTAGTTAGTAATCATAAGATATTGGTTTGCGAGTTTTAAAATTATGGTGTTCCAATGATGTGAAGTTGCAGTGTGTTAGCATGTTAATTTCAACAGACTGCCACTCCAATGCAGCTTTAAACAACGTGCTGCTGTGTTTACACAAAACAAAATATCATGCAAACACAACTCTAAACAATCTGTTGAGTGTTAGCTTCACTGCATGTTGGATTCAGTGTGCTGGCATATTATCACTGACGTACATGCTAGCACATTGTCACCTCGTGCTAGTATGTTGTCATAAATACTCTAGCACATTATCCTAAACCCACTAGTGCATGATTACTTTGCACTTGTATGTTGTCTTATTAGGGGATAGCATAAATGACTGCCTTAATTGGTGTAAACTTCTTTTAATTGATGAAAGAGTACATTAAAATTTACAAATTATACACAGAAAATGTGACAATATCTTATCTCTCAATTTGATAATCTAATTTATAATCTCATGAATTGCACTTTTTATTAGTAAAAGAATTATAAATTAAAAAATTTCAATTTCTTTTGGATAGGTGTGACTCATCTGAATACTGAATTTTGATACCAAGCATGACCATGATTTGCCAGAAGATCATCTGTTTGGATGTGACATGGAATAAACAGCATAGTGAAAATAAGTCAAGTTTTGGTTTGTGAAGACAATTTTTAAACACACTGTGTATCATTTTTAAATTTTAATTTGACAACATAAATCCACAAATATGAACATATCAATTGCTCTCAGTTTTTCAAGTGAAATAGTTTTTGTAACAGAAATACATGTACCAGTAATTACATTGGAATAAATGTTATTTTTAAATATAATAATATTTTGTTTGTGTAGCATGTTGACCTCTTTATTAAGGTCTTCCCTTTCAAAGTTTAGACTTACTTATTCTAATGATTAAGATAGATCCTCTGTCTTCAGCAGGAATATAAGATCTTGTAATACATGTATGTGTATTTTTTACAGTATAATGTAAAAAAATTGTTATTTTGGCACACACAACTAATTAAAGGCATAAACATGTGTATGATTCCAAGGAATTCAGTACATAGGGCATGTACATGTAGTTTTCTAAAACAAGATTGAAGAGATGTCCAGTCGCATTTCAATGTCAACTCCAAAACTGTGCCTGTTGCATACTTATTAGCCCATCTGAGCTAAAGGAACCAGTAAATTTTTTAAAAACATAATTTTATCCATTATCATAATTGTCTAAAATTTCACAATATCATTTTCCAGAACCAAAGTGAAACTTGGCACAGAGCATCCTTAGTGTAGGGGATTCAAATTGTTCTTATGCAGGGCAATACCTTCAAAGAGATTTGTTTCTTTAATGCTGTAAATGTATTATATTTAGCTTGTACAATATTTGGAGGAAATTGACTTTTGAATAAGTAAGCGTAGATATTCTTATTTATGTTTATGTACAAGACTTTTAGCTTTGTACTTGATTTAGTGATTGCTGCATTCTGCCAAAGCCGCTAAAAAAAATACACAGCCATATGTAATATGTTCACAATATACCTTTCAGAGAATTTTACACTCCTATTGAGGTACCACCAGTTGCTAGTGGAAAGCTTCAAATTCGAAACATACACAACACATTTCTGTGCGTTTATTATAAAAGTATTGTTCTACTTACTGATTGCAACTAATGAAGATTGTTCATCATTATTATAAATACATTTGGATTTTTTGAATTATTAAATAATTTGTTTATTTTATTTACCTAGTTATATTGTATATTAAATGATTTTAAAGCCATTTTTAAGATGGTAATGTAGCAAAACACTTATGTTTCTGTAGTATGACACGTTTCACAAACATAATTGCAACAAACATGATATATCCGATATCAAAAGTCATAATATTGGAAGTTAAACTGTTGTGGATACGATTTCAAGAATGCTGTTAGAGAGAGTACCCTTTAGACCTCATGCTCACACCAAATTAAAGAATTCAAATAAGGGTTTTTGAGACAAATCGAAAAAGAGAATGTTAGCAAAGTTGACAATCTAGACAGAAACATTTAATCTTTTGCTTATCGCTAGGAAGGAAGACCCACTCGTTGCTTTGCAACGAGCTTTGCTCTAGTTATTATTATTATTCTTTTTTTGACAAAATTTTGTGCACGCGATTTCTCGAAAACTATTCAGCGGGTTTTAACGAAATTTTCACAAAATATGCGTCTTTACATGAAGTTGTGCAGTCTGTAATTTTTTTTTGAAAATTCGCTTCCGGTGCCAAGTTATGGACGATTTCCTGATTTTAAAATGCGATTTTGTCGCGCACTTTTACCGAAAATGGCTGAGTATATGAACTGGAGACTTATTGGAGATGATAGATCATGACTTTGTGGATTGCAGAATCCCTTTTCGTGCGTCGTCAGTACTTCCGGTCGTTACGAGATGCAAATTTAAAAAAATCGTAATTTCTAACTTTTTTGTTTTTCAGTATTTTTCATTTTTATTTGGTATGGTAATAGAAGCCCTCCTTGTAATGCTTACTATTTAATTTGTTTGAATGTTGATAAAACTAAAGTCTAGATATTTGCATTCAAAAATCTGAAGCGGGTCCAAAATGGCGGCTGTCTCTGTCAACTCCGCCATTTCGCGAGTAGGGGTTTATGGAGGCAGCTGAGCGTTTGATTAAACCATTCTGACATAAGGATACATGGAATGTAAAAAACTACTTCGACTCTCACGTAGTATTAAATGGTTGGAGGAGTTACCTCCCCTTACTTGTTTATATTATAATAGATAATCAATGTAAATATTGTAATTAATTGGTCAATTGACTAAAGAATTAAACAAGTATTATTGATAAATGATGTTCAGTTAGAAAATAATAATGGTGTTGCCAAAAGAAAGACAGTCTGTTTCATTTTATCAATATGATATCTGATAACTTATGATCATTGATTAAGTTGAGGTACACGGGGGCAGTACAGCCAACTGGCTTGTGTCTTCACTTTGGTACAGAAACCAATTGGTTTATCGATCAAATAGGATTGTGCAAAGTTGCCGTAGTCAGTGACTAGTTAAAATGTAGCTGTGTGACATTAGCTATAGGTTTGTCATTAGGACAGAGAAGCTCTTACAAAGTTAAATCATACTGTGTAAGTATATTGTAGCCACTTGGCTAGAGTTATATAGGCAACTTGGTAAGCAGTTATACACCAGGCAGATGTTAAAGGCTAAATCAAGAGGCACCAGGCAGATAGATGTTGACTTATATAGTCAGTTTTACGAGTATAGTGAGGCAATTATCATATGGCACCAGGCAGGTGCCGGTATTAACTGAAGATATATAATTATACAAAGCACTTAGGTCATTTGATTTAAAGACACCAGGCAGGTGTCATATTATTACATGTATCTGTATATATTGCATTCAATCATATCCCCAGTAAAACTCGGTAATCCGAGCACGGACCTACTGACCGCTCAGATCCGACACGTTACAGTAGTACGTTGCAATTGAGTGTCAATCTTAAAACTTAATTTCCGTTTCACTGCTTTAGTGTAATCGGCTAGATACGATAGGTAATGTGTATAATGTGTTACATATACTTTCTTAACGTCAAAATGAAATAAAGGCGCTAAGAATGTTTTATTTTTAAAATTTAATTGATGCTATCATACCTATCTAATAGATCAGTCCAAAGAAAAGGCGCGAATATTTACTCGTGGCGTTTGGCGCGAAATTATGAATGCTTTTTATAATTCTTAGACAGGTGAACTGTTGCAAAAGTACCGTGGTATACACAAGTATATTTAGAGCAGTACTCCCAATAGCTTAATGGTTAGCGCGTTGGGGATATAAAAGTAAAAAAAAAAAAAGCGCATTCACGTTGGAGACATGGTTTCAATCCTCCTTGTGACCAAAATTTTGAATCTCTTTTCAGCTCGATTTTATGTGGGTTTCTTTTCCTAAAACGGACGGAAGACCTCTCGTTGCTCGCAACGAGATCGTATCTAGTTATTATTATTATGTTCCCCAAACGAAGTTGGGGAACATATTGTTTTTACTCTGTTTCTTATTATTATTATTTTTCTTCTTCCTGGGAAAATTTTGTCCACGAGTGATCTTGTAAACTACACATCCGACTTAGGTGAAACCTTTTTAGGGTCAGTAGGCATGTTATGTAGAGTTGCCAAACAAAGGTCATTTTGCGCGCACGTGCTTGCAAGAGCGCGCACGTGCAACAGGTGAAATACTAATATAATGGATATTGCCGTAACTTTTCTATTTTTTGATGAAAATTTTTGAAACTCATAATGTAAGGATACATTAGTAGTATAGACAAGATAACATGGTCAAAATAGCAAGATCTCACGCGCATGCACTTGCGCTTCGCTCTGATTGGCTGAAACTAAAGTCTCAATAACTTTCTTGTTTCTTGTCATAATCCTTTAAAATTTTGAACATAGTCCTACATTATGAAGATCTACCGCATGATGTATAAGAATTTTCAAGAATGCATGCGCATATGCGCGTGCTGCAAGCTGATTGGCTGAAACTTTAAATGGCAATATCTCCTTTGTTTTTTGACGAAATTCTTTGAAATTTAAAATATAGTCATGCATTAGGATATCCAACGAAATGATATAGAAAAAAAATCATGAAATCACGCGCATGCACGTGTGCTGCAATCTGATTGGCTGAAACTTTAAATGGCTATTTCTCCTTTGTTTTTTGAGGAAATTCTTTGAAATTTAAAATATAGTCATGCATTAGGATATCCTACAAAATGATATAGAAAAAAATCATGAAATCCCGCGCATGCACGTGTGCTGCAATCTGATTGGCTGAAACTTTAAATGGCTATTTCTCCTTTGTTTTTTGACGAAATTCTTTGAAATTTAAAAATATAGTCATGCATTAGGATATCCTACAAAACGATATGAAAAAAATTACGCGCATGCACGTGTGCTGCAATCTGATTGGCTGAAACTTTAAATGGCTATAACTCCCTTGTTTTTCAACCAAACAGGATGGGATTTAGAATATAAATAGATGTAAGGGACTCCTACAAGAAGGTATGATCATGCACGTGCACGCACGTGCGTGCATTAGAAACCAATATATTTAAAAATACTCTTGATTGAGTGATTTTTATTACCTTTGGACTGAATGCTTTAATATATAGTACATGTATATTAAAATATGTAATTAGTGTAGACAAGATGATATGGTCATAACGCACATGCGTTCACATGCGCTTGGGTGCAATGCTAAAAATTGAATATAATCGGTATCCTTCTGGGAAAACATTGTTAAAGTAAAAATATGCACAGAGTTTGTCTTTAATGAAGCTTACAGGGAATATGGCACCGAAAGGGAGTTGGGGAGCGTTTGGGGAACATCTGTAACGGTTCCCGTTACAATTAGCACTAGTTATTATTATTATTATTCTTTTTTCTTCTTATTTCTTCTCCGGTACTTTTTTGTCCGGAAGTGTTCTCAGAAACTGTTCACCAAACTAAGTTAAAACCTTTTTAGGGTTAGTAGGCATGTTGTGTAGATGTGCCGAACGAAGGTCATTTAGCGCACATACGCATGCACGTGCGGGCGCGTGCAATGACTAAAATGACTGATATTTTTAATATGGTTGTAACTTTTATATTTTTTGATGAAATGTTTTGAAACTCATTATATAGAGATATATAAGTTGTGTAGATAAGATGACATGGTCAAATTTGCATGAACTCACGCGCATGCACGTGCGCTTTGCTCTGATTGGCTGAAACAGAAATCTTAATATCTTTTTTGTTTTATGATGAAATGCTTTGAAATTCATAACATAGACATGCATTAGGATATGCTACAACATGATATATAATATTTTTCATGAAATCACGCGCATGCACGTGCGCTGCAATCTGATTGGCTGAAACTTTAAATGACTATAACTCCTTTGCTTTTCAACCAAACAGCATGGGAATTAGAACATAGATAGACATAAAGGACTCCTACAAGATGGTATGGTCACCATTCACATGCATGCACATGCGTGCACGTGCCCTTTCCTCTGATTGGCTGAAACAAAAATCTCAATATCTTTTCTGTTTTTTTACAAAATGCTTTGAAATTTGAAACATAGGCATACTTTAAGATGTCCTACAATATGATATATAAGAATTGTCAAGAAAGCACGCGCGTGTACGTGAGCTACAATCTGATTGGCTTAAACTTTAAATGGCTATAACTCCCTTGTTTTTCAACCAAACAGGATGGGAATAAGAACATAGACAGAGGTAATGGACTCCTACTAGAAGGTATGGTCATCATGCACGTGCATGCACGTGCAATGAGTAAAATAGTGTAGACAAGATGATATCGTCATTACGCTCATGCA